CTTTCAGGACTGAAAAGCTTTGATTAGTGTAGGGCTTTTCAACCCTAAAAGCCTTTTTATTTTGACAGAAATTCACAATCTCTTTAGTAACTCTAAGATAAAAACATAAAGAAAATCTTGGTCAAAGTTGGACTAATTTCCTGGCAGCAAGAATTTAGGGTATCGTCAGGATATGGTAAATGTCTCAGAAAACTCTCGATTTTAAGTACATATTTGGATTCTGCATGAAAATTAGACCTAGAAAAAGTACTTTATAGGATATTGAGTAAAGGTTGTTAGTTTGTGAGTCTCTTGTGCGAGCAAGCGAACAGCTGGAAGCTCTTTCGTCAGCTTTTCTTCGATGCTTTCGGAATGAGGAACTCTCGCATCAATCTGGAACGTGTCTTCAATCTCTGCAAAAGGTTTATATTCTTATTAAACTATTTTTTAATTATTTTATTTGTTCAAAAGTTTTGGTCGTTGAAAATCAAACTAGATCCGCTATAATCGAAACTACAGTGCCTCCAGCGAAACAGTGTCTTTGGCACCTTTAGTTTTTTCTCTTCCAAAGCAGCCCGCCCTTCTGAGATTTCGCTGTTTTATGTCGTGAGGGAGAGAGGCTTACCAACACTGTGAACGACAAAGGCGCCTAGTTGTCAACTATGAACTAATGGCGCCTAGATTTTTCCTGTGAACAACAATGGCGCTAGATGTTAACTGTGAACAAGACTATAAAAGAGCTTTCAAGCAGCTTTGAAAGAGTGTAGGAAATAAATAGGGACTAAAACGAGACAAAAGTAAATTCTTCTTAGTACCTGATCCAAGTTGTGAAAGATAGCAAGCGAATTTTTGGACCCTTGGTTTACGTACATGTTGCTCTAGTCTGTTACCTGTTGCCTGTGCCCCTTATTTGTTGCCCAGTCTTGTCGCTGTGTGCTCCAAAACTCAAATTAAACTCTTCGCAAAAATTACGAAAGTTTTCTTTCGTAAACGTAAAACTTTTTTTCGGATATTTTACTACAGTAGCCTCCTATCCTACCAATAAGCCCCTGAATTGAAGATTCAAAATAAAACGTAAGACTAGTTATGCTTTAAGCTTCCTTCTGGAAATTGTAGGACAAAAGGTTGGCTTGCCTAAAATATCGTACAACAGGTGTAGCTTCAGTCAAAAAGTTTGCGTGTAAAAGCCGGGTGTGCTTCATGACTTCTTTTATGCTTCACGCTTTAATACAACGCAAAGGAATGGAACCACAAAATCCCAGCCTACAAATGAGATATCAACACGATCAGGTGGGAAGAAAATAGGATTTACCAAACAAACCTTAACTATCTTTATGTCTACCCACTACCAGCTAGCTGCTTTCAGTTCAAAGATTTGATAACGAATTTCGTTACCAATTCTGATTTCTATAGGCACTCGCTTGTCTTATCCCCTCCCCTTTTCTCACATCTTCCTTCTCCTCCCTCTCTTCTCTTCCCTTCCCTCTCTTTCTTTCCCTTCTCTTCCCTTCCTCCTTCCCCAATCCCAATTCATGCGTTGGATTATTTTCTATATTTCACAACACTGTATATACAGGGTGGCTGATAATTACGTGCGCCAAAGAAAACGCCATAATTTAATTTTCTTTCAAAGAAAATGTAAAAATCTTTATTTATATAATAGTTGTAACAAAAGCATTTAATAATCACAAGAAATTTTCGAAGTGGCCTCCATCCGCTTTGATACAGGCTTCAATTCGCTTCTTTACAGAATCGACGGTGCGGCGGAGATAATTTGCATCTAAGTCGTTCCAGATTTTGATCAATTCTCGACGTAAATCATTCAAATTGGTGATTTTTCTATTTCTCAATTGTTCTTCCATAAAACCCCAAACCGAAAAGTCCAACGGATTGAGATCCGGGCTGTTTGCAGGCCATTGATCCTTCGTCAAAAAAGAGCAAATTTTGGTTTCGAGAAAGCGAATTGTTGTTTTGGCTCCGTGGTCCGGCGCCCAATCTTGTTGAAGGGTCAAATTGGGATGGCTCCTCTTCCATGGCACCACAGCTTTCTCGAGAATCTCTTTTTGATAGACTTTTGCGTTAATCTTCACATTTTTATCGATAAAAACCAACGGGGTCTTGCCCGAAGCACTAATGCCACCCCAAACCATCAAACTTTTTGGAAAAAGACCTTTTGTAGCGACTTTTCGTTTACGAGTGCTCTTGAGAGCTGGACTGAGAAGTTGACGGTGATTTTGTGAGTTTTTAGCCACTTCCAAGGTGAAAATCTTCTCATCTGACCAAAGAACATCGTCAATGCGCCGCACCTTGAAAAAAGCTCGCAATTTCTTGCATTTCTCCTTCCGGTTTTGCTTGGCTTGATCGGTGAGCACTTGCCCGTTTAACAGTCGATAACTTCGAAGTCCGAGCTCATTTTTCACTATCGATTGAACCGAGAAACGCGAAATTTGAAGCTGTTTTGCCATCTTGTTCAAACTACGATCGTCTTTTCGCTCGATCCTCCTCTTGATGATCCCACGCATCTTTCGGGTGTTAACGGTCCTCTTTGGTCCTTTTTGGTACCTATTCGCGCCTCGTAGCCTAAGCCAGTGTCAAGAAGACTTAGAAAACAAGTTTTTAGTATTTTTCAAACCGCCCGTACTTGTAAAAAATGCGTCTTTGGTAGCAAAAATAGCCCTGAATTTTAGCTATTCTTTTGATACCTATTCGCGCCTCTAGCTTAAGCCAGTGTCAAGAAAACCCATCCAAAGATAGCCTCGGCAAGACTCTGAGGGTAATATACAGTATTTATGGTAATTAAAAAAAAACTTGGTACATAAATAACCAATGCTTTTCCCAGCTCCCGTTCAACGTTCAATGTTCGTGGGAAACGCGCAAACTCCGGCCGACCCGACCCGACGGCCGACAGTAAAGCTTTGATTTGTTCAGCCGATCTTTGATTTGTTCATCAAAGCTTTGACTTGTTCAGTAAAGCCTAGATTTGTTCAACAAAGCTTTGATTTGTTCAGTTTGTTCAGTAAAGCTTTGATTTGTTCTGCAAAGCTTTGATTTTTCAGTTTGTTCAGTAAAGCTTTGATTTGTTCAGCCGATCTTTGATTTGTTCAGTAAAGCTTGGATCAGATATAGAAAGAAACAAAGATTATAAGATAGAAAAATCTAGAAAAAGATGGAAAGCTTTGGCAAGATGGAAAGATACAAAGATAGAAAGTATAGAAAAATATAGAAAGATACAAAGATAGAAAGGGAGAAAAATATAGAAACTATATAGAAAGACATAGAATGATAGCAAGACATAGAAAGATAGAAAGATATTGAAAGATAAAGAAGATAGAAAGATATAGAAAGATAGAAAGACAGAGAAAGATATAGAAAGACATAGAAAGATATAGAAAGGCATAAAAAGATATAGAAAGATATTGAAAGATATAAGAATATATTGAAATATATTGTAAAAATAAAATATAAAATCCTCCAGGAAAACCAGCAGATTCTGGCTTTATTCCTTTTACAAGGTAAAATCCAATGGAAAACCAGTAGATTCTGGCGTTATTCTCTTTACAAGCTAAAATTTACAGGAAAACCTGCCGCTTTTGCCCTTTCGCCCTTGTAGGAACTAGATAGGGACTAGAAAGGGGCTTTGAAGGAGATTTAAAGAGCTTGATAGGCACGTAAGTAAGTAAGGATTATAAAAAGTGCTTCTAAGGAGCATTCAGCGGGCTTTAGGAAATAAATAAGGACTCTAAAGGAGCTTTGAAAAAGCTTTCTGAGAACCAAATAGGCACTATGAAGGAACTTTAAGGGAGATTTATAGGGATTAAATAAGGACTAAATAAGCCTAAAGGAGCTTTATAGGACTCAACAAGGACTATAAACGAGCTTGAATGGAACTTTAAAGGAATTTGTAGGAACTAAATAAGGACTACTGCCTGTAACCTGAATGTGTGTGTTTTAGTCATACAATTAGAATAACTAAAATCAAAGGATATCAAGCATATGTTTTTCAGGCATAGGCGCGAAAGCTTCCTCAAGCATACAGAAAGATTAATCGAGGCAAAACAATCCGCAAATTGCTTTATTATAGGGGCTATCAGCGCGAAAACGGTTGGAACAGTCCGGGTCTAAACTCCTCTCCACGGGAACTTTCCTATGGTCGATTAGCGTCGGTTGTTCTCTTAGCACTTTACTTTTTGCACTTGTGCAAATTTTTTTGATATTGGTGGGTATTCCCGATTAGTTTGGGTGGGTGCTCCGGGAGTTTGGCAGGGTAATAGGCGATTTGGCGCCTTAGACTCAACTTGGGTTCGGACATTTATCTTCGACTCTTTCTCTTTTTTCTACGAGATTGGCTCAACCTATTTATCAATACACAAAAGCTCTAAAGACGGAAAAGGGGAAAGAAGAAAGCGGCTTGCTTTCAAATAGTGATCGACCGCTGTTAGGAAAAAGGCTGGAAGGTTGTCGGTCTCAAAAAGGCACATGCCACCCTACTCTTTACTTCTCCACTCCCCATCCTTCCTCCTCAATCTTCCCCGTTGTTCCCGATGCATGGCCTCGATGAATTACCCTCAAAGTCGCGCGAAAGTGGTTTTCCCTGGCCCAATACGATTTCTCGAACTTTTTTAATTTTCATTTGGTCTGGACGATAAGTTCAGTGGCAAAAGCGTAGTTTCTTTATTGGATCAGTTTACTTCCTCTACCTATTTTTATCATTGACGCAACTTGTCGCCCCAGTCTCATTCGAAGGTTTTGGGCTACGATAATGGATATAATAAAACTTGGTAGCAAACTCTGACTCATCCAAGCCTGGCTTAAGCATTCTTACAGTTCCGCGAAACCCGGGCCAACCTTTTTCAAGTTTAAGTTTTCTTTCGAAATCCAATCTAAGCGCGATGTGTTCCAAAACAGCTTTTTCCATTCTTTTCAGTCTTTCCCTCTCAAATCGACGATCTCAGCGATCGACCACCTGACCGAATTTTTTTGCATACTTCTTTCCATTGTCTTCTCCCCTCCCCGGCCACCAGATGCGATTTTCAGGTTTGAACATAGCTTGGAAAACTTAAATAGGCTCTAAGTATTACATCCTGGAACTAATCCACAACCACTAGCTTTAGACCGTAGTCCCCAAAATATTTTAGAACTCGGACAAGGGTACTCCAAGTGATCCTGACCCTCGGAGCCCTAATTGAGTCATTAAATGAGCCTATTCCAGAATATTCCAACTAGTAATGCATAAGATCTGCATAAATTGAAGCCTGGATCCTAGGGCAATACTGAGAATACCACTGAAAATATGTTTTACAAGATCCAAAGACTAGAATCCGGCTCAAAACTTTCAGCTCCCCTTCTCACTCTCCTTATTTCCCTCTCGATTTCTTGGAGCTTCCTTTCGGCGCTGGAGGAGCTGAACGATCGAACGCCGAATCCGGGTAAAAAAGTCAAATAAAAATCAAGAATAAAAACTTTCAGGATTCCTGAGCCAGCTAGACGTTTTGCGTCTCCGAGACGGGTGGCATTTGAAAAATTTCACAATGTCACAACAACAGCGCAGCCTGACGCCCGTCGACCCACAAACAGCTTCCATCCAGTACTTTTATCCGCAGGTTAGATTCAGATTCTTATTTGGGATTCGGTCTTGAATTCTGGCGTTGGGGTGGGTGGTCATTGATCCAGCAGTTTTCCCGCAAATCAAGGCAGCATTTTTTAACATAAGGGCGGATCACGATTTTATCTAGTCCATCTAATTTAGGAGATTCTAAAAGCGAATTCTGGGCTTGAGCTATCATTCAACCTTTCGCGGCCCGGCGAGCCAAATCCAATGAAGAAACCGGCAAAGCTGTTGTTGCAATTGAATTTCAAAGGTTGTGGAACAGTTCAAGTGGAACTTAAGGTCAAACTTCTCAAAAATATCTGGACGGTATCCAACTTTCAGAACTCCCCGCAACAGAACTGGACGATTTCTCCAAACCTCCACGCGTTTTGCTCGAGTTTGGCAAAAAGTCGGATCGATCTGGATGTCACTGAAGTGTTTCCCGGCAATGATTTGGTGGCGTTGAAAAAGAAAAAGTGTACCGTAATATGGAGGGTTTTAGCTACCGTAATATGGAGGGTTTTAGCTTCTAAAAGATGGAAAAACTATTTTGATTTTTCAAAACAAACGAATGGTATGCTATCCAAACAAGTCTCAATTTAGCTCCAATTCACGCTCACCTTTTCGCCGTTTTTTTACGTGTTGCGTTCGCCTGAGGAGAAATACGCCTATTTGGTGGCTCATTATGAAAGCGCACCGACATGCCGCTTGAAGAGATTGGCTGATGGTGAGTTATAGGCATTTATAGACAATCTGCAAGGCACACCACTTGTATCTTTTCACAATATTTCAGCCCACGCAAGAGTTTAGGAGTCAACCTAAAATATATCATATCCTGATCTCATTTAACTTTAAAAAAGCAAAAAACTAAGAAGAATCCACTTTGCATTTGAGTCTTTTCATACAAAATTTTCAAGATGTCGATTGCAGACCAATGACTTGCATAATTACACTAAAATTGAACGATAAACTAAAAATACACCATTTCAGCCTCATTTGAGCCAAAAAAGCCAATAAAGATTCAGTTCATTTGAGCCAATAAAGCTTGTTTTGGATGTTCTGGACCGCAGGAAACATTTTGCTGCTTTGGGTTGATTGCTCTTAAGAGACAAGTACATAAGGCACCAAATGACTGTAAGTAAAATCGAGATCAAAAATCAGAACAGTCAACTACGTCTGGTTGGTGCCCATCCCAGATCACCCAAAAATAAGCTTTAGTGGAAACTAGGCATCAGCTTAGGTTCTAGTCCGAGCTACAAAAGACTTTGAAAAATTGTAGCGTAATTAGTTCGATATATAGTAGGCGTTCAAATCACCCAAAAGACTCTTTCAGACGACTTCAGCACTCTCCGGGCAAAACAAGGGCGAAAGGGCAAAGGCAAGGAGAAAGGACAAAAGTGGCCGGGAAAGGCTCGAAAAGAAGAAAGGCCCAGCCACGATTCCCGACAGCCGCATCGACGTTTGTGTCAGCGCGTCGGTATGTACGTGGATTTCAAGGAGTTCAACTGGGATTGGATTTTGTCGCCAAGTTAGTTTTTCGATTGGATTTTCTCCTCACTAAATCCCTTGGAAAATCTCATTAATCCAGGATTGGCAAGCAGGATTTGCAAAAAGCATTTTTCAGTTGGCTACAACGCATTTAAGTGTGTGGGTGAATGTTCGAACCCATTACCCGCTCGTCTGAACGCCACCAATCACGCGATTATACAGTCGCTTTTGAGCAGGTTCGTCAAATTCGGCTTCCAAACTGCTCAAAAAATGATTTTTTTAATGATGAGAATTTTATATTAGAAGGAGTTTTAACTTATATGCTAAAAAAGGTAATCTCTCTACAGACAAAAATTCAGCCTTAATCCGGAGATCCCTGGGCCGTGCTGTGTGGCCACCGAGACCTCAGCGCTCAACATTCTATACATGTTTGCAAATCTTTGACTTTGCCTCATTTTCCTTTACAGAGATTTCAACAACACAATTCAAATCAAGAACCATGATGAAATGCTGGTGGAAGCCTGCGGATGTCGATAAAATCGCGTTGTGGCCGCGAGGTCGTTGAGTAAACGTGGAAAGTTCGTACCTCAGTTCGCAAGGTGACCCACTCTTGGCTTTGGTGTGTTCGTCTTGTTTTTTTGATTTATAGATTACCCTTTAAGCACTAATTTTAAAATTTATCAAATTTTAAATTTTTTCTTTTTCTGGGACCAACAGCTGCCACCAGCTGATTTTTTGAGAGACGAATGAAAAAAGGGATTTTGGTTTTGGTTTTTCGAATGGTTTACTTCAAGAAAATTCGAAATCTTGAAAAATTTGATGTTCTATTTTCTGGCACTTTGCCACACGACTTTTTGTTTTTAATTGCCACAAGACACTTTTGAATCTTTGATGTAATAATGTAATAATAATCCTTAACTCTTGTTCTCTCTTTTAAATTTTTTAAAAGTTCAAAAATGCAGAATTTTTTGACTTTTCGGATTACCTATTTAGCGTTTTTTTTTGTTTTTTAAAGTTTGCTTTCGAGAGCTCATTGAGTAGAGTGTTGAATTTGCCAAATCTTAGTTCGATTCTGGTCATGCTTCTTCAGATTTTTCCTCCATTTTCGGTTTCTTTTCGATTGACATCTATTCAGGCGCTGCATCTTTTTTCCTCCTGGATAGGTTTTTTCCAATTGTAATTTTACCGTTTTTGTGCGGATAAACTCAAATTAACGAGCTTCTCAAAAGTGTCTCTAAAAATGATGAAGCAGGTCTGAAACGAGTCAAACATTTTGTGAAAAATTGGAAATCCAAAACCAGCTTCCCTGGCTCAAATGAGGCTGAATCTTTATTGGCTTATTTGGCTCAAATGAGGCTGAAATGGAGTATTTTTAGTTTCTGGTTCAATTTTAGTGTAATTATTCAGGTCATGGGTGTCCAATCAACATCTTGAAACTTTTATATGAAAGAACCCAAAAAACGCAAAGTGGATTCTTGTTAATTTTTGGTTTTTTTAAAGGTGAGTGCAATCAGGATATGATATATTTACAGGTTGACTAATGAGGGAAATAAGGAGAGTGAGAAGGGGAGCTGAAAGTTTTGATTACTATTTAGATCTTATGCATTACTAGTTGTTGTTGTGACATTGTGAAATTTTTCAAATGCCACCCGTCTCGGAGACGCAAAACGTCTAGCTGGCTCAGGAATCCTGAAAGTTTTTATTCTTGATTTTTATTTGACTTTTTTACCCGGATTCGGCGTTCGATCGTTCAGCTCCTCCAGCGCCGAAAGGAAGCTCCAAGAAATCGAGAGGGAAATAAGGAGAGTGAGAAGGGGAGCTGAAAGTTTTGAGCCGGATTCTAGTCTTTGGATCTTGTAAAACATATTTTCAGTAGTATTCTCAGTATTGCCCTAGGATCCAGGCTTCAATTTATGCAGATCTTATGCATTACTAGTTGGAATATTCTGGAATAGGCTCATTTAATGACTCAATTAGGGCTCCGAGGGTCAGGATCACTTGGAGTACCCTTGTCCGAGTTCTAAAATATTTTGGGGACTACGGTCTAAAGCTAGTGGTTGTGGATTAGTTCCAGGATGTAATACTTAGAGCCTATTTAAGTTTTCCAAGCTATGTTCAAACCTGAAAATCGCATCTGGTGGCCGGGGAGGGGAGAAGACAATGGAAAGAAGTATGCAAAAAAATTCGGTCAGGTGGTCGATCGCTGAGATCGTCGATTTGAGAGGGAAAGAATGAAAAGAATGGAAAAAGCTGTTTTGGAACACATCGCGCTTAGATTGGATTTCGAAAGAAAACTTAAACTTGAAAAAGGTTGGCCCGGGTTTCGCGGAACTGTAAGAATGCTTAAGCCAGGCTTGGATGAGTCAGAGTTTGCTACCAAGTTTTATTATATCCATTATCGTAGCCCAAAACCTTCGAATGAGACTGGGGCGACAAGTTGCGTCAATGATAAAAATAGGTAGAGGAAGTAAACTGATCCAATAAAGAAACTACGCTTTTGCCACTGAACTTATCGTCCAGACCAAATGAAAATTAAAAAAGTTCGAGAAATCGTATTGGGCCAGGGAAAACCACTTTCGCGCGACTTTGAGGGTAATTCATCGAGGCCATGCATCGGGAACAACGGGGAAGATTGAGGAGGAAGGATGGGGAGTGGAGAAGTAAAGAGTAGGGTGGCATGTGCCTTTTTGAGACCGACAACCTTCCAGCCTTTTTCCTAACAGCGGTCGATCACTATTTGAAAGCAAGCCGCTTTCTTCTTTCCCCTTTTCCGTCTTTAGAGCTTTTGTGTATTGATAAATAGGTTGAGCCAATCTCGTAGAAAAAAGAGAAAGAGTCGAAGATAAATGTCCGAACCCAAGTTGAGTCTAAGGCGCCAAATCGCCTATTACCCTGCCAAACTCCCGGAGCACCCACCCAAACTAATCGGGAATACCCACCAATATCAAAAAAATTTGCACAAGTGCAAAAAGTAAAGTGCTAAGAGAACAACCGACGCTAATCGACCATAGGAAAGTTCCCGTGGAGAGGAGTTTAGACCCGGACTGTTCCAACCGTTTTCGCGCTGATAGCCCCTATAATAAAGCAATTTGCGGATTGTTTTGCCTCGATTAATCTTCTGTATGCTTGAGGAAGCTTTCGCGCCTATGCCTGAAAAACATATGCTTGATATCCTTTGATTTTAGTTATTCTAATTGTATGACTAAAACACACACATTCAGGTTACAGGCAGTAGTCCTTATTTAGTTCCTACAAATTCCTTTAAAGTTCCATTCAAGCTCGTTTATAGTCCTTGTTGAGTCCTATAAAGCTCCTTTAGGCTTATTTAGTCCTTATTTAATCCCTATAAATCTCCCTTAAAGTTCCTTCATAGTGCCTATTTGGTTCTCAGAAAGCTTTTTCAAAGCTCCTTTAGAGTCCTTATTTATTTCCTAAAGCCCGCTGAATGCTCCTTAGAAGCACTTTTTATAATCCTTACTTACTTACGTGCCTATCAAGCTCTTTAAATCTCCTTCAAAGCCCCTTTCTAGTCCCTATCTAGTTCCTACAAGGGCGAAAGGGCAAAAGCGGCAGGTTTTCCTGTAAATTTTAGCTTGTAAAGAGAATAATTCTATGTCTTTCTATATAGTTTCTATATTTTTCTCCCTTTCTATCTTTGTATCTTTCTATATTTTTCTATACTTTCTATCTTTGTATCTTTCCATCTTGCCAAAGCTTTCCATCTTTTTCTAGATTTTTCTATCTTATAATCTTTGTTTCTTTCTATATCTAATCCAAGCTTTACTGAACAAATCAAAGATCGGCTGAACAAATCAAAGCTTTACTGAACAAACTGAACAAATCAAAGCTTTGCTGAACAAATCAAAGCTTTACTGAACAAACTGAACAAATCAAAGCTTTGTTGAACAAATCAAAGCTTTACTGAACAAACTGAACAAATCAAAGCTTTGCTGAACCATCAAAGCTTTACTGAACAAACTGAACAAATCAAAGCTTTGCTAAACAAATCAAAGCTTTGCTGGACAAATCTAAGCTTTACTGAAAAAGTCAAAGCTCTGCTGAACAAGTCAAAGCTCTGCTGAACAAATCAAAGCTTTACTGAACAAACTGAACAAATCAAAGCTTGGCTGAACAAGTCAAAGCTCTGCTGAACAAGCAGAGCTGAACAAATCAAAGCTTTACTGAACAAACTGAACAAATCAAAGCTTTGCTGAACCATCAAAGCTTTACTGAACAAACTGAACAAATCAAAGCTTTGCTAAACAAATCAAAGCTTTGCTGGACAAATCTAAGCTTTACTGAAAAAGTCGAAGCTCTGCTGAACAAGTCAAAACTCTGCCGGCTGAACAAGCTCTGCTGAACAAGTCAAAGCTTTACTGAACAAACTGAACAAATCAAAGCTCGGCTAAACAAATCTAAGCTTTACTGAAAAAGTCAAAGCTCTGCTGAACAAATCAAAGACCGGCTGAACAAATCAAAGCTTTACTGAACAAACTGAACAAATCAAAGCTTTGCTGAACCATCAAAGCTTTACTGAACAAACTGAACAAATCAAAGCTTTGCTAAACAAATCAAAGCTTTGCTGGACAAATCTAAGCTTTACTGAAAAGTCAAAGCTCTGCTGAACAAGTCAAAACTCTGCTGAACAAATCAAGCTTTACTGAACAAACTGAACAAATGAAAGCTTGGCTGAACAAGTCAAAGCTCTGCTGAACAAGCAGAGCTAAACAAATCAAAGCTTTACTGAACAAACTGAACAAATCAAAGCTTTGCTGAACCATCAAAGCTTTACTGAACAAACTGAACAAATCAAAGCTTTGCTAAACAAATCAAAGCTTTGCTGGACAAATCTAAGCTTTACTGAAAAGTCAAAGCTCTGCTGGACAAATCCAAGCTTTGCCGAGCAAATACAAGCTTTACTGAACAAACTCAACGAATCAAAGCTTGGTTGAACAAGTCAAACCTCTGCTAAACAAATCAAAGCTTTACTGAACAAGTCAAAGCTCTGCTGAACAAGTCAAAGATCGGCTTAACAAATCAAAGCTTTGCTGAACAAATCAAAGCTTTACTGAACAAACTGAACAAATCAAAGCTTGGCTGAACAAGTCAAAGCTCTGCTGAACAAATCAAAGCTTTACTGAACAAATCAAAGCTTTGCTGAATAAATCAAAGCTTTACTGAACAACCTGAACAAATCAAAGCTTGGCTGGACAAGTCAAAGCTCTGCTGAACAAGTCAAAGCTTTACTGAACAAACTGAACAAATCAAAGCTCGGATGAACAAATCTAAGCTTTACTGAACAAGTCAAAGCTCTGCTGAACAAATCAAAGACCGGCTGAACAAATGAAAGCTTTACTGAACAAACTGAACAAATAAAAGCTTTGCTAAACAAATCAAAGCTTTGCTGGTCAAATCTAAGCTTTACTGAAAAAGTCAAAGCTCTGCTGAACAAGTCAAAACTCTGCTGAACAAACCAAATCTTTACTGAACAAACTGAACAAATCAAAGCTTGGCTGAGCAAGTCAAAGCTTTGCTAAACAAATCAAAGCTTTACTGAACAAACTGGACAAATCCAAGCTTTGCCAAACAAATCCAAGCTTTACTGAACCAACTCAACAAATCAAAGCTTGGTTGAACAAGTCAAACCTCTGCTAAACAAATCAAAGCTTTACTGAACAAGTTAAAGCTCTGCTGAACAAATCAAAGATCGGCTGAACAAATCAAAGCTTTACTGAACAAATCAAAGCTTTGCTGAACAAATCAAAGCTTTACTGAACAACCTGAACAAATCAAAGCTTTACTGAACAACCTGAACAAATCAAAGCTTGGCTGGACAAGTCAAAGCTCTGCTGAACAAGTCAAAGCTTTACTGAACAAACTGAACAAATCAAAGCTCGGATGAACAAATCTAAGCTTTACTGAACAAGTCAAAGCTCGGCTGAACAAATCAAAGACCGGCTGAACAAATGAAAGTTTACTGAACAAATTGAACAAATCAAAGCTTTGCTGAACAAATCAAAGCTTTACTGAACAAACTGAACAAATAAAAGCTTTGCTAAACAAATCAAAGCTTTGCTGGTCAAATCTAAGCTTTACTGAAAAAGTCAAAGCTTGGCTGAACAAGTCAAAGCTCTGCTGAACAAGCAAAAGCTTTACTGAACAAACTGAACAAATCAAACCTTGCTAAACAAATCGAAGCTTTGCTAAACAAATCTAAGCTTTATTGAACAAATCAAAGATCGGCTGAACAAATCAAAGCTTTACTGAACAAACTGAACAAATCCAAGCTTGGCTGAACAAGTCAAAGGTTTAATGAACAAACAAATCAAACTTTGCTAAACAAATTAAAGCTTTGCTGAACAAACTGAACAAATCAAAGCTTTGCTAAACAAATCAAAGCTTTGCTGAACAAATCTAAGCTTTACTGAACAAGTCAAAGCTCTGCTGAACAAATCAAAGATCGGCTGAACAAATCAAAGCTTTACTGAACATACTGAACAAATCCAAGCTTGGCTGAACAAGTCAAAGGTTTAATGAACAAATTGAACAAATCAAAGCTTTGCTAAACAGATCAAAGCTTTACTGAACAAACTGGGCAAATCCAAGCTTTGCCGAACAAATCCAAGCTTTACTGAACAAACTCAACAAATCAAAGCTTGCTTGAACAAGTCAAACCTCTGCTAAACAATACAAAGCTTTACTGAACAAGTCAAAGCTCTGCTGAACAAATCAAAGATCGGCTGATCAAATCAAAGCTTTGCTGAACAAATCAAAGCTTTACTGAACAAACTGAACAAATCAAAGCTTGGCTGAACAAGTCAAAGCTCTGCTGAACAAATCAAAGCTTTACTGAACAAATCAAAGCTTTGCTGAACAATCAAAGCTTTACTGAGCAACCTGAACAAATCAAAGCTTGGCTGGACAAGTCAAAGCTCTGCTGAACAAGTCAAAGCTTTACTGAACAAACTGAACAAATCAAAGCTCGGATGAACAAATCTAAGCTTTACTGAACAAGTCAAAGCTCTGCTGAACAAATCAAAGACCGGCTGAACAAATGAAAGCTTTACTGAACAAACTGAACAAAAAAAAGCTTTGCTAAACAAATCAAAGCTTTGCTGGTCAAATCTAAGCGTT